AATAATTGTATTCTTCAAGAGGACCATGTTTTCTTTATTTTAGATAATTTTAGATAATTTTGATTTTTAACATACACATTTCCAATTTATAAGATGTATTTTAGAGTATTTCTTTCAAAAACAGCTTATATATCCAAGGTAAACTGGACAATGAAAACAATTTTAGATAAATTAAAACACTACTTTTAGTTTTAAATAATCAAGTGATTTATGAAAAAGTGATCCTACAGACTTAGATCATTTTCTTAACAATTGTAGTTTACTCTGATGTTTTTGAAAGACCTGAAACATTTTAATACCTGAAATATTTTAATACTTTGTCTTCTACAAATATGAAAAGGAATAACTGTCTTCTTTGAGAGCAGTCTTTGAGTCACTGTCAAAAGTGAAAATTAAGCAGAATCCAAAGGCCACATCTTCTGTCCTCACCATTAGTCTCTGTCTCCTATCATTAGTGACTGTGATGTTTCCTTACTGTCTGTATAAAGAGGGGCATGTAGATCCAAATATTTTTAGTGCAAAATCCAAATACTTCTTTGGAAAGTTGTCTAAAATGTATTTACTGCAGACATTTCCCTTTGGTTTATTTTTGTGTACGGATGTCATATGCTACCCCCAAATTTGATTTTCATACTATTTTATAACATTTAGTAAAGATAAATCATTAATTAGATAAATGTATTTGCTTTTATGTCTTTGCAAAGTTTTCTTATAAATAATATGTTAAGTAACTCTCTTTGACACACCATATATCTCATTTTTGATGGGAATGTTGTCAACTACTACTTCTACATAGCACACAAAAATTAGGTGATTCATCAAGATAATGAATTTCATGATTTTAAAACACAATGTGGTTCCAGCCACGCATAGTTGTATAGACACTAAACAGTCAAAGATAACTTACTGAAGCTCGTTCACAGAACTAAGCTTTCCCCTGATATCTATCCTTCTCCCATAACTCACCCCCCAAATGTCTGGAAGTATTATCTCAAATGCTTTCCAGGATTTAAATAACAATATTTTAAAAACACTTTTAACACCACAATAAGGAATTTGTTGGCATGACTCGAACAATACGGTTACTCCAGATGCTGTATTCAAACTGTATGGGTCCATTGAAAAAATAGATATAACCTATAAGAAAAAAACCAAAGAGATTTCAGAGGTTGAAAATAAAGTTTTACTCTAGCTAACACTAAAAGCTCAATCTGTTTGATTCACTTTTTTAAACATTTCAATGCCTACATTATAAACAGCACTAATGCTTTAATGTATTGCTTATAACTTAAAGAGGGGGAAATGTATAAAGGTTTCTAGTGCTCCTAAAATGTCACCTCAAATTAATTGCTGTGGTGGCATGAGTTCCAGTTTTGAGGTTTGAAATTTTTTTTGGCCATGCCAAGCACTGAAAGCACAGTCTAGGCCTCCAGGGAATGCCCCCAAATGCTTGAGTTATCGATATTGGTTATTTGTTGCAAGTTAGAGATAATGTTCTTTTCCATAATTAAAGCAAAAAACATTTTATATTTATGATGTTATTTGTGTTCACATATAAAATACTCCCCATTCATCCCTGATTTTAATTATGGCAATACTTTTTGCATCTTGTGTGCTGTGCTTAGTCACTCAGTAGTGTCCAACTCTTTGCAATACCATGGACTGGTCCATTGGGATTCTCCAGGCAAGAATACTGGAGTGGGTTGCCATGCCCTCCTCCAGGGGATCTTCCCGACCCAGGGGCTGAACCCAGGTCTCCCACATTGCAGGCAGATTCTTTACCATCTGAGCCACCAGGGAAGCCCTCAATATCTTTAAATTTAAAGTCGTGTTTAAGATTTGTCATCTTTTATTCATAGAACTAGCAGTCATTAAATTAAGCTCTCATTTATTGTAAGCATATTAATTTTTGCCTGCTGACTAAGTAGTCACAGTAAGTAATCCCTTAATTATGCAAGTTTTTTATTAGTGAATCTAAGTTCTAACTGAGGGACTACAGAAGCTCTCCATTAAGATCAGCGAAATAGTTACCATTTTTCTGGTAGACAGCATCTACTTTATCACCAATTCCTGGGAAGACCTCTTCAATGAGTCTGGGGTAGTCTTTATCCATCACATGGTTAGTGTCATCATAGCTTTATAATAAGAAAAAGAAGCTCTTAAGTGGGTTTTAGGTAAATTACTTTAGAAATAATACAGTGGATATAATGGTAACTTTCAAAATTGACAAAGTTTCCGATTTTTAAGTCCATTTGAACATCTGGTAGTTTCTTAAAATTAAGAATTATAATACTGACTATATAGTAGATACCTGGTGAGTATTTTGACTTGCCTAAAGGTCATATTTATAAAGATAGTTATAAACTCTTTTCCATTTTATTTGTACATCTGTTGTAAAAGTATGTTATTAGGAAAGAATTTTTAGAGTCAAATAAATATGTTTCTGGATTGAACAATTGTCTCTCACTATGTGTAAGACAACTTGCTAAGGGCAGTCATGGATACAAAACTATTTAAGGCTCAGTTTCCACACAAGGAAGTTACAGAGGGAAATAGTAGTAATAAAGCAAGGGTGGGAAGCATAGATTTCTCCTCCCATAACTATATATTCCACACTCCTCTTCCCCAGCACATACTCACACTCTAGCCAATCAAACACATTCTGAAATCAACCTAGGAGAAAGACCTTTCATGATGCACTCTTCCTACTGTTACTGGTGAGAGTTTTTTATATTCTTGAGGTATGTTCCAATAGGTAAAAGCTGAGAATCAATGGCCCATCAAGAAGGTTAAGACATACACAGATGACATTGTAACACTAGACAATAGGGGCTAAACATCATGAGAGAATACACATGAGATGTCATGGGAAATACATGAGAACAGAGATAGCCTTTGAATGGGGTGATCAAGAAGGGCTGTACATAAAATGGTATTTCAAATTAACTGTAAACAACAGATAGAATGTCAAGAGGATAAATGTAGGGAAAGGCCTCTGGCAAAGAAAATTGTATAAGGGAAGGTTATGCAGAGATAAAAGCACAAAGCATTTGAGATATGGTAAGCAGTTCATCTTGACCAAACCACAGACCTCATATAGGATAAAGGGACAGAAACACTAGACTAGGTAGAACCTAGGTAGTAATATTTAATAGTCATATTTAAAGTTGTGAGTGTCATTATCAGAAATAAGAAAACAAAAGGTAAAGATGATATATACAAGAGTGTGTGTGTGTACACAAGCATGCATGAGTGTAAATGTGTGTGTGTATAGAGGAAGTAAAGCTACCATTTAAAAAGTTCCAAGTTTTGGATACCTATGAGATAATCATCCCTGAACTGACTTGGGTTCACAAACATTGCCAGTGTCAATGCCGCCCTAAGTTCTACGCATGTTTCAGATAGTCCAGTTCTACTTGGTTTTCACGAGGGTCTGGCTTTGCAAAGTATAGACCTAGCAGCTTCCTGGCCAGCCTCTGCACTGGACCAACAGACTAGAAACTGCAGCCCTCTCTCACTCAGTCTTGTCCTGTACATATTCTTGTGTTCCCTCTGGCCCCAGAAGATGGACTTGCATGGAAATAAGGAGAGGATGACAAGAGAGAGAATCCAGGAGAAAGATGAAACGAACGCGTCAAAATGAGAGAGAGTTTTGTCATGGCTTAAGTACAACAAATGACTAAGAAAGAAAAGCGTGGCCCAGAAGGGTTGAGAATTACACGTGTATTTTTCAAGAAGGCTTGAGACTTTCAAATGCCTGTCTTAGGGGCTACCTGCAGGAGCTGACATGGAACATAAATGAATGACTGGTTTGACATTTAAAGTAAGGCATGAGATAATAATTTTAAGCAACTGGAGATGCTCGAGGCTCACTTCGCCCTCTGACACATGATGCGGAGTAAACATGGTTGCCATACCTCCAGACTTGGTTTTCAGAGAAGAAGAGCGTCTTCCCCGAATCCTCAAAGTGAAGGGCTGCACTGATCTTTTTAACATCTTTTGGAAATCCCAGTTCAGATATTTTTTTTGGATAATCTTCCAGAATATCATAACCACTAAGTGCCCAAAATTTTCTGCCTAGAATAAGCGAAAGAATCATTTTATTATTCAAGGGAATCTATTAAAACTCACATATGTAGACCTTTACTTTAGCAAAAAGAAAATCATTTTACACATTTATAAATAAATTAGTCAATGTTTGTGGTCACCATGTTTAGGAAACACAAAAGTATGAGCGTTCTTCAAAAATTAAGATCCTAATTTCCTAAATGTAAGCATAGCAAATGGAATATTAGTTTGACTATTAACTCTGAATAGTTTGGAGCTGGGTTAAAAATTCATTAAGATTTCTATAGAAAGAAGCTGCACAGTAGAAACAGGAAATTAGATTGAAAACTCAAGTTTTATACTGGTACAAAAGTTATCTTCTTCTCTAAAAAGTAACTTTATTATAACATTAATTGTAATAGTCACACAATAGAAACAGCAGTAGTAGGATCTATGTAGTTAATACAAATTATGATCATTAAACTGGAATAGCAATTTGGGTACCTATGTCAAGGGAACACGTAAAATATTAAAATGCATACATACTATGAATGGAAATGTTTAATATATGTTTTACATATAATTAGGGACTAGATAATAAAGTGAGAAAATAAATTGACCTTTCAGAAGGAGGAATTATGGGTATTTTTTTTGAATTGTTAAAAATGTACATTGTTATAACATTTTCTCAACAAATAATTTTTAAGAGGAAATAAGAGAAAGAGTGGATATGAGTAATAATGCAGACTTTTACTTGTCAGATTGAGGACACTTGGTTTCAGTTGGATACTTGGTTTCAGAAAGGTTTCAGGTGCTTTCTGGCTTCCATTTTGTTATACTTGATTCTTAATTTAGATATATATTTTTGACAATGATCATTTTATTGACTCTCTGGTAGCTTAAGTTCATCGCTGACTGCTCCAGGCATATGTGAAGTTTCGCTGGTATCTTACCTCTAAAGATGAAAATAAGGTCATGGGAAGGGTGCTCATAGGCGGCATCAATACGGTTGGGAAGTTCTGGCCAAAACGATTTTGTTAAAAACAGCTCTGCTTCAACCTGCTGAGGATGCAGCCGCCAGAAGAATCTGACACGAAAGTAAAACACAGAGTTTGCATCATTTCTTTGAGTGCAGTGTTTCTATCCTGCTAGCCACTTGTCTCCACATCAGCACAGGTAAGCCAGACGTAACCATTCCCTACCACCTGTGAAGGGGCAAGATTTCCATTTCCATTTAAACGCCAGTTAAACAAGCTGTTTCTGTCTTAACTCCAGCCTAAATACTGAAGTCCAAAAGTATCACAGAGCCTTTGTGAAGGCTCCAGGTCCTTTGTGTCCTGGAATCATTCTTTGTCAGTTTCGCATATCTTGCAAGTGGCAAGCAAATATGCCAGGCACTGTGTTGGGCTCTGCAAAGAAAACATGACTGACACAAATTATGCTCCGAAGATCTCATGGCCTGGGGAATCTGATACAAGAGAAGATACTGGAGCAAAATGAAATTGGAGCTATAATAGAAGAGGAAGGAATGCTATTGGATCACAGATAAGAGAATAATACAGATAATTAACAGATAATTAAACAGTGGATTAATCTGTAAATGAACAAATAAGGATATCAAAACAGTAGCAAAATTAAAAATTAGTATCTCATTTTTCATCACCTATAGATTTAGGCTGTAACATGCTCATATGTTACCAGAACAAAAGCTTTTCCATACCAAAAGGAATTGATGTGAAATTATGAATAACAGCTTACTAATATAGTAATTGATTTCAATTATTATTTTGTTAAATAAATAAATTGTATTCCTATATTTATTTGGTTATTTTTATAAGAAAAACAACAACCAAAGATGTAAAAGAAAGCTATACAATGCCAAGATTATCCATTGAAAGGTAACATGTTTATCCATCAGTTATTTTATTTCATCTTACATACGTAAATAAACTGTCCAAAGATCTGTTATTTTTACTAACTTCACCTCCTTTGGAATTCTGACCAGATGTTTTGGTAATCTCAGACATGACTTTAGAAATGTTTGTTACATTCAGGTTTCATAAAATAATACCAAAGTACCTGTCTTTAAAGATCAGTGTTTCTCCGCGGAGACTGGTAATGGCATCAAGGGATAAGGAAGGGTCGCATTTGTCCGGCGTTTTCGGATGTTTAGAGTTGGGGTCTTCATCTCCTGGACCTGCAGTCATGAAATGAGTCAAGGAAATGACTGAGGATGATCTGCTCCTACCAATGGAGAGCAGGAAGGGCTTCATCGGGAGGACAGTGGGTCCTGCCACCTCCTACATAATTGCCAAAGAACCTGTAATCCCACTTCCTTCCTCCAGGGCTACCATGGTCTTGCCGATGGGACTTCCCCTTATGTTTTCAACTTTAAAGACCCTTGAGAATCATCTCAGCTCCAAATTCAGCCTTCCTGAGGTTGATGATAGAAACGGGCTGGGGGAGCAAGAGACTTTAGGGAAACTTTCCCCATGCCTTGCACAACCTATTCAGACTTCTCCTGAGAAACACATTGCTCTCACAGCCATTTCTGGAAGCACATCGTGTCTGTGGGAGCCCTCCTTTGGGGTCTTTCTCGAGCCTACTTGACCAGCTGCCAGCATCAGCTCACCTTGCTTTAGAGCTTATCACTGTGCGTCTGCATCTCAGTGAAAGGCCAGGCCTCAGCCATTCTGGTATGGCTCGCAGCTTGTTGGTAACTTTCCAGCCAGCTCACATGAGTGCAAAAGGGTTGCAGGACATAAAATAATGCTAAACTTCTTTTTCATTACCTATATCCTATTAGTTCTGTCATTAAGTCCCTCAGCCAAGATACAGTAGAAATAGTAAAAACTGCAGAATTCTCGCCTCTGCCCTCACGAGCTATTGCGGTAGATTTCAATCCAGAAGGGAAAATAGCTTGGGGCTGGCCTGACCCAGTTTTCTGAGCTCTGTCTTCTAGAAGTGTTTACACTGATGACTGTGTACTATGGCTGTACTTCTATTTATGGTAGGTATGTTTGCTTGTTGGGGTTGAGGTTTAATTATTTTGTAAATATTATTGAAAATTTGGAAGGACAATAAAGGAAGAAATTCTTACAAATGTTCACTGTAGATATTGGTTAAAAACTACCACGGGCCACTTGAATGGTTTCTACTGTGGTAAATAAACAGGAGAAGTTGAAAGAATACCCACAATTTATAAAAGCTGGTTGAAATCTCACTTTCCCCCTGTGAAAGCTACCCCAAAATCTGTGTTCCTATCTGGCTATGTTTCACCCAGCTGTGTTACTATAGATATACTATTTAAACTCTATAGCCTTAGTTTCTTCATTCATCAAATGAAGAATAAAATATTGCCATTTCTTATGTCAGAGGTATTGTCAGGATATCAAATGTACCTTGCAATGTATAAAATATAAATACAAGGAGATACATTCTACAAAAACTTTGGGGAATGGAATATTTTCTACTTGAGCAGGTAGATTGATATTTAAAGAAAAAATGAGCATGCTTCTCCTTGTGTTACTAACAAAACCAGGACAGTAATATTGTCAATGGTAAATTCATTAATTATTTAGAAAATAAATGTGTTATGTCTTCTGCTGTCAAGCTGAGTTATCAGTAGTTACCATAGAGAGACTGAATCCCTTGGACATCATCATCAGGAAGCATAAAGTGGCTTTTGCCAGTGTAGGTGTAGATGGGAAACATGAGTGCTCCTGGGTCCTTGGAGTGGTCCAGACCTAAGGAATGGCCAAACTCATGCGCAGCAACAAGAAACAAGTTGTAGCCTGTAAGGAAACAAAGGAATTAAAAAAAAAAATCCTCCAATGGCCGATGCACAGAATAAATGCTCTTTTCTTCCTCTAGTTATTATGTCGTCATTTCTCCTTGCCTGTTTGACCCAGTTTTTAAAGTTAATATTCAGTTGCTTAAAGGAAGATTTAAAACGTTGATTTAATCATTGTAAACAATTTGGTAACCCTTTGATTACAGCTACCTACACTGATCATCAACAGATTGATTAGCGATCAACAAGGTTTTATTGTGAAGACATTAGTAATCCTGATTTGCCCCTTGCTTTCTCATGTCAGTGAGGAAAGTAGAGAGTGATGACCTTAAATGGACACGAGTGGGGAAAAAACAGGGTGATACATATCTAGGGTGCTGCCTAGAAAATCATCTAAATAGGAGCCAGCAATCAAAGGTATGATAACCAAGCATAGAGAATGCACTAAGTACAGTCTCCAAGAATCTTCTTGGGAACAAATTCCTACCAAATGCTCCTTTCCTCTAGAATTTAAAGACGCAGAAACTCTAGACACGATTGGCCAACCTTCCTCTACTGGTGAAGACTACTGTGTCTCTGTGCTTACATTATTTCCTCCAGTCACTCTTCCCACAAATTTCTGATGCTTCTGGTATTTTAAATTGGAAAAAAGTAAAATGCTGAGAGAAAAAAACACATGAAAGCTGGAGCCAGTGGTTTCAGTTCGACCTTAAATACCCTTTGCTATCATAGCCTATACATGAAGAAAATATGTGACCAACTTAGCGAATTGTGCAGACTGCAGGATGGTCATTCATTTCAATTAAACATTTCAAACCCAGAATTTAGATAGGAACCAAAAACTGAGGCTTACTGTGGCTATGTCTTAACAATACTAGGTGTTGCTCCTTTTTCCTAAAACCATCCTTATCTGTGAAATATTCAGACTTTAAATATGCAAACTCCCACCTTTCCCTCCAAAGACAGATTGGCAGCATAGGCATTGAGACATTGATTATTCAAGGCCCAGGTTTACTTTTTGGAAAAATAATTCCTATTTTTAAATGAATAATAAAGACCAGATGTTTTTGAGGACTACCCTCTAATTATCACAATTAAGAGTCCATATAGCTCCAAAATTAAGTCCTAGTTGAAATAATTTGGCTTTTATGCCTAAATTAGCATGCTCAATTCTTTTGAGCCTTGAAGATTCAAGTACTGACTGAATTTTCTCAACAGTTTCATTTTGCTTTTGCAAATACATTTTAATCTGGTTTGTCTCAGACTTTCTGAAGTAAGAAACTATATTGATTTGCTAGAGTGGTATTTGTAAAAATCAGTGGAATAGACAAGTCTAAAGAAGTAATCATATAACAGAGAATAGAAATATGACTGGATTTGTGCCGTTAATATTTCTACAAAGGAAAAAAGCTATTTCAACTCATATCCAACTTATTTATGATCTACATATTTAGCTCTAATAGTTTTTAGATATATATTTGTAATACACCATACTTCTTCATATGTCAGAAGTAATCCACAGTAATAACACCTTGGTTAACAGAAAGCATTTTGATCCTATTTCAGAGTTAGCTAGTATCCCTCAAGCCACTAGACTAAGTAGATTTTGCTCATTTTTAATGTTTCATATTGGCTTGTAGAAATACTATTTGTAGAAACTAAGTAGAAGATTATTATACTTATTAAACTTTTTTGGAAAATATAATCAAATACCAAATATAATTTACAGTATGCTTCTTAACTTCTTTTCAATGGGATCTGATAATCACGAATTATAGCTTTATAAGAAATATTACCTTTGGAACTACTTGTCCAGGTTTCATCATCATCAAAATGAGCATCTCCTCCATAATTTGGTCCAGGAGGGAAAGCATGAGCCAACAGACCAGAGGGTCCATCAAATGGGTAGAAGTCGCCATGCTCTACACACAAAAGCAAGAGTTAAGAATCTAATTATACCAGTAGTGCCTAGCCCAGGTGCTTGGTGAATTTTTGTTGGATTCTGTAAGAACTAATGAATAACTGAAAGAAGGAATAAAATAATGGAGCCAATAGTAGAATATAAAAATGTTTTAAAATTATTCTGCATCATTACCTTTAGTTCCAAAAGAGATCATGATATCAGCAGTGCCATTGTGAATTCTGGTAAAATTCAGAGGTGTCACATCAGACCACACCTTGAAGGCTTTTCTGAAGGCCTTTTCCACTTCAGAATGAGTCAGATCAGGTGTATAATTCACAATTCTATTTAACAGAAAAAGCTTGAATCAAATTTTTGAAAAGTGAAAACTCTTTTAGAATATATTTTCTTGGAGTACTGCTTTTCAACTCAAAATGCAGTGGCTTCTCTAAAAGTTCTACTAGAGGTCCATTGTTTCAAATAACTTATTAATTATGATGTCATATAAAGACATACATACAAAGACATACAAGGCCATGAAGAACTTGATTAGATACCGGAGTATCTCCAAATATTTGACATCTTAAATTTAAAGTATTTAGATGTTTACTAAAACTTGTTTGGCTGCCATGCTAAAAGTTTTGTATCACTATGTCTAAACAAATGAAACAGTTTTGTAAAGTTCATGAGAGAGTGAAACTCTCCATTTTTAGCACTCTTATAATAAATATGACTGTTACATTTTCAAATTTTCTTGAAACTACTCTTCTATTTTGATTTTATACCTGAAAGAAACATATTTAGTTTTGCAATAAAAATAGTGCTGGCTGAATGCAACAATAATATGTAATGGCTATTATAAGATATTCTCATCAACAGTATTAAAGTTACTCCTCTCTCTCTGTGTATGGTCTGTGCTTAATCGCTAAGTCGGGGCTGACTCTTTGCAACCTCAAGACCGTAGCCTTCCAGGCACCTCTGTCCATGGGGATTCTCCAGGCAGGAATACTAGAGTGGGTTGCCATGCCCTCCTCCAGAGGATCCTCCCAACCCAGGGATCTAACCCAGGTCCTCTGCATTGCAGGTGGATCCTTTACCACCTGAGCCACCAAGAAAGCCCAAAGTCACTGCTAGACCTACTTAATTTCCAGTTTAAAATCTAAGGCCTACTTGAAACAGTGGGACCACACATGTTCCGTCATCTGTAGCTTGTGCTGAAAATTAGACATTTGATACTACAAAAAGCAGCAAATATTAAAGAAAGAATAGTCTATGATTTACCTGTAGGTTAAGTTCATTTTGGACCACTTGAGAGTTCGAGGAAAAACATTGTATTCACCCACATCAGGGACCCCACATCTTGGTTTTTTCATGATATCTAAGGTGTTATCATCAAGTCTGCCAGTCACCTCTAAGCCAAAAAATGACTGCATTTCTCTAAGCCTGTCAATCACAGAGCTTGCTGCACTTTTCTTCAGGATTCCAGCAGGATTCTGAGGATAGTAGTACGATTTCAGGTAGTTCTAAAAAAAGAGAGCAAAACGACCCTCTTTTAAAGAGAAGGGCATTTATGAGGCATATCACATCACTGAAATTGTTAAAATACTCTACCTCTGCAAACTGGAAGTCTTCCTCAGACAAGTCTTCAGAATCTCCATCACTGGGAAGGGGCAGGGACCAACAAGTCGTCCAGCTGAAGAAGAGGAAGCCAGCCAGGACCCTTGGGTGCATCTTGGATGATCGTGCCTGGAGGCAGCTGCCTTTTCCCAGACAAGTACCTTTACTTTTATAGGCTTATGGTGGTGAGTCATCAATTATGGACAAGTTTCAACTTCCTAGTCAGTTAAAGGTAAACATGCTTACATGGCGACTTTTTCTTTTTTCCTCCCAAAAGTGTGGTTTGTGGTAGAATTTGAGGGAAACATAATATGAGGGCTTCTCTCCTTTCAGTAGGGTCTCAAAAACCATCTTGCAAAATAACGGCCTCAGCATATTTATGGCTATTGTGGGAAGAAACAGGGAGTAAAATTTTCACTTCACTTGGCAAAAAAAAAGTTCCCCTTTGTAGGAGAGTGACTGCTTTTGCTTTTTCTGATAAGACTATCAAGACAGTACACTTACTTCGATAAAGAGAAACCTAGTCTTGTTTCCAGAATGTTTATTACCTGGTGAGTTTTAAACTTCATTTTTTTCCAGAGTACCTAAGAGGTAAATATTATGTATACCCGAAGGCCACAGAATTGGACCAGAACCAGGCTTAGAGACTCATCACGGGATTGAGTGCTGTGGTTGGAATTTAAAAGCACTGGTGTGACCTCTCAACCAACATGGAGCCTTGCACAAATTCCCTACAGGTTCAGGCACAAATAGAATACGTGTTAGAATACAGTATACTGGAATACAATATAATGGCTAGGATACTGAGGGATTACTGCAGGCTAGACTTAAAATGTGTTATCTCTTAACAGCCTTATGAAGTAGGTACTGTTGGAAGGTACTTTTTTTCACTTTACAAACCAATAATCCGAGACACGGAGAAGTCAAATACTCATTTAAGGTGACATGGTTAATAAAACGCTACTACCTGGCATTTGAATCCCGGCCATCCGGTTGAAGACGCCATGTTTTTAACTGCCATGGAATATGACCTCTACTCTCTCCATTCTCAGATATTTTCCCAGCGCTGCCTGGTTCCCAAAGCTCTGGGAGGGCTCAGGAAAGCTAGGACTCTAAAGTGTCTTGATTTTTAAGTTTAAACAATAGAAGTGCCTTTGGTCCAATGACTCCAGAAAACAGTCCTGTAGGGGCCTCTAGTCCTATTCCTTTTAGAACTTCACACATTTAATACTATGAAATCAGAATGCCGTCTTTGATTCCTTGTAGATGTAAATGGATAGAGCAATACGGGCCATGATTTTCGGATTGATCAAATTGTTGAAAGCACAAGTTAGTTTAAGTGACTAAGAGTCAGAGAGAAGCTTAAGTCAGAAACACACTAAGACAAACAGAAGGAGCATGAATACAGATTAGGGTGAGAAGGGAAGGGATACCCTTAAAATAAAGTGCTATAATCTATATTAGCCAGTACATCAGATAAAACCAGAAAAACCTATCAAATGTAGCCAACCACTTGAGGGAAGTTTATTATGCTTTTATCCAAAATAGAGCCAAATAGATCCCTACAGTAGATTATTTCCTATGAGCTCAAGATTTGATTTAGGCTCAATCAGCAATGCAAAATAATAATTCATTCTAAGCCTCTTCCATGTACAACATTTTATTTTGAGAGTAAGTGAAAATCATCCAAAAATTTGATTCATCTAAGTTTATAGGAAATCAATTCAGTAGAAAGCATTTGTTTTTACCAATACATTTTTATAAAATCACACTAGATAATAAAGAATAAGTCCTTGAACAAGAAGTTTAAAAACAAGTGATATTTAATGTTTGAAAGTGGGTGAAAAGAATAAAGTAGGCTAACTGTATTTATAGATCTTCATTTATATCTAGAAATGGCACCATCTTAAACTGGCACAAACTTAAATTTGAGTTATTAAATCAGTGAACACTGGGCATCAACAATGCAGGATACGTCACTAGTCACTATGAAGATGAAGGAAAGAATAAGATCAGAGCCTTTTTCTTGGGGTGATTACAACATTCTCTCCTCCACGAAGAAACATTTTTAATGAACAATAAAAATTAATGTCACCATTTTTCAACTTTAAAAATTATGTTTACTATCAAACAGCTTTAATATTAATTTCTTATTTCATTTCATTTATTTGCATTTTTCAGTGCAAAGGATAAAACACAGAAAGGTTAATGAGAACATGCTGTTGCACATTTCGTAATTTTCTCAGGGGAATAAATAAAATTTCCTCAGATTAAAGTAGAAATCAATTCCTTAGAAAAATCATCAAATTTCTGGCCGATAGGCTATCATTCAGAGAGGAGTGGTTTCATACAGTGATCAGGACGTGTCATCACATGGAAATTTGTTGGCAAGCTTCTTGTCAACACAAGTCCTTATCTCAGATTAATTGTTAAAATTCATTTTAACAGGCCTTCTGGTGAAGTGGTTTGTGGTTTCAAATGACACCTTTAACACAATGAGGCTGAGCTAGTGTGTACAAATGGTTCTAACAAGCTGACGAATCACTGGGAAATCTGAAAACCTGTAGAATGAGCAAACAAGACTGCAGAGGAAATTAGATATGTGTAGGTATATGTCTACTGCTGATTCAGACATAAGCAATATGGGACTTTTTAAAACATATGTCATCATCAGTTTCTAAGTTCAAAACATCACCCAGGAAAGAACCAAAAACATCTATGAATAACCCTTTAGTAAAGCATAAGGGTGTTCCAGCTTAGAAATAATAGAAACAATGAGCCATTTGAGTTGGGTTAAAATTATAAAAATTCATAAATCAAAGAACCTTCAAGCTAAAATATTTTGCTTCAGTTTGGCATGTTGTAAATTATTGGTGTTGACATGACAGTAATATCTTTATTTTTCTAAAAGGGAGAAGCCTGGCATGCTGCAGTCCATGGGGGTCACAAAAAGCTGGACACGCCTGAGTGACTGAACAATGACACCAACACAAAAATAATGATTTTTATAAACACTCACTGATGGTTGCCTTGCTCTAGTCTCTCATTTTCTTTCCTTCTGTCTTTCTGTTTGTTTGGTTGGTTGGCCCACAACCCCATGAAATGTGCTCACAAGTGCTCTATAAAAAAAGAGAGAACTAAACTAGAATTTGTATGCTGGGCAGGATGAAGCACAAGCTGGAATCAAGATTGCTGGGAGAAATATCAATAACCTCAGATACGCAGATGACACCACCCATACGGCAGAAAGGAAAGAAGAACTAAAGAGCCTCTTGATGAAAGTGAACGAGGAGAGTGAAAAAGTTGGCTTAAAGCTCAACATTCAGAAAACTAAGATCATGGCATCTGGTCCCATCACTTCACGGCAAATAGATGGGGAAACAGTGAGAGACTACTGCATATGGTGACTGCAGCCATGAAATTAAAAGACACTTACTCCTTGGAAGGAAAGTTATGACCAACCTGGACAGCATATTAAAAAGCAGAGACATTACTTTGCCAACAAAGGTCCATCTAGTCACGGCTATGGTTTTTCCAGTAGTCACGTATGAATGTGAAAGTTTGACCATAAAAGAAGCTGAGCACAGAAGAATTGATACTTTTGAACTGTGGTGTTGGAGAAGACTCTTGAGAGTCCCTTGGACTGCAAGGAGATCCAACCAGTCCATCCTAAAGGAAATCAGTCCTGAATATTCATTGGAAGGACTGATGTTGAAGCTGAAACTTCAATACTTTGGCCACCTGACGCAAAGAGCTGACTCATTTGAAAAGACCCTGATGCTGGGAAAGATTGAAGGTGGGAGGAGAAGGGGACGACAGAGGATGAGATGGTTGGATGGCATCACTGACTCAATGGACGTGAGTTTGAGTAAGCTCTGGGAGTTGGTGATGGACAGGGAGGCCTGGCGTGCTTGCAGTCCATGGGGTTGCAAAGAGTTGGACATGACTGAAAGACTGAACTGAACTGAAGCTAGAATTTAAATACTTAATCATATTTACACTCTAGATAAGATATGAGTGCCCCACCCAGCTTACTTATGCACAATCATGACACAATCCACTATTTTAGATACTGAAGCTGCAAAACAGAAGGTCAGCAATTCAGGAGGTCCTTTCCTTTTAACATCTGAACTTCGTGATCTTCAGAGCGCTTGCGTTCATACTGGGTTGGCCCATGAAAGAAATAATTAGAATCTGCAAGAAAAAGTGAAATTCTTTTTAGCTCTTACTTAAGTATGACATCTGAAACTCAAAACACAATTTCCTGGGCTTGTTCCTAATAAATTTTAATTTTTATTGTGTTTTGTTAAAAAGAGTGGTTCCTGAATGTCCACCTCTGACAGGTTTAAGCAAATACTGTAGGAGAAAACAACCAGGAATAGAATACACATTCTAGCCTCCTCTTGCTCAAATGTCTCTGGAAAGTTTGTTCGGCAGTAATAATAGAGATGGAAACAAGCTAGAGAAATGGGGCCTGAGTGGGTTTAACAACAAGCACTTTTAGTGTATTTTAAAATCCCTCATATTTAAACAATGAGGCAGGAACTCTATTTTTAAAACACCTTGTTACCTCAATTTCCTAAAGGAGAAGTTGTTGCATAACTTTACCTTTTTTTTTCCCTTCTGGCTGCACCACAGGACATGTGGGATCTTAGTTCCCCGATCAAGGATCAAAACTGTGCCCCCTGCATTGGAGCATGAACTCTTAACCCCGGGACAGCCAGGGAAGTCCCAGGAAGTTGTTACATATTGTAAATGACAAATTTTTTTATTCAAAATTAATATACAAAAAAGAAACATTGCACAATGACTGGAAAATAGGGAGAAAACTAAAAGAAAAGTATTGCTGTAATACCCCAAGATTTTTTAGATAGCCCCATATACATATAAATTTTAAAAATATCCTTTAAATTGATTTATTTAGATGACAGTCAATCTTGAAGGTTTTTAAAAAACAGTACTTTCTATAATAGAAAACCTGCCAGGTTAGTTATATGCTGCATCTATTTTATTTTCAATTCTAGGAAAGTTACCTTTAATAAATTTGGAGTAGCCATCTTCCATAGTTTGCTTTTCTTCTTTGAATGTATCATAAAATTGAGAATGAACTAAAA